TGGAGAGTGGTTCTCTCAATCCAATGAGAGTTGTTATTTGGCCATGGAGAGTCCTATTCTTCATAGTGTTTGTTGACAGTGAAAATTTATCAACAGAATAATAATTAATTTCTTAATTTTTGGGATTTGTTTCTCAAATTTTGTTTTGATTCGGATCGCTTTATGATTGGCATTATTTTGGGAATGATGGGCTGGTTGATTTTGATTGAGAATAGATTGGCAGCTGGATAGTTCATTTTGGAAAGTTTCTGCAGATCTGGAAACTGAATATAGTTTATGTTTTTGAAAGTCAACTATTGATCCAAAGATGGTAAATTGATAATTGATGATTTGATTAATATTTGATTGAGTTTCCATAGCTGAATGATATTTCTCTGTCTCATAGGAATGTGTCCAGATTCGTATATCAGTTTCAAAAAGATTTCAGATTTAAGAAGATTGATTCATGGACTGGCTTTAAGAGAGTTGATTCTGACAGCTATGTTGCAGTTATTGTTGCAATAAGGATCTGTAACAAATTTGGTTCAATGAATTAATTGAAGAGGTTGTCAAGCTGTTCACATTTTGCTTATTTATTCAAAGAGTCTCTGTACACATTTTGATTAGTTTTTCTGGGTTGTGAGATAAGTGTGTGCACTTGAATTCAGGGAGATGATTTGAGTATTTTTCAGGAGAAAAACTTGTTTGAGGGATTCCAATATTAAAAAGTCGAGGGGATCTCCCTATTAAAGTCCATTGGAAAATTGTAAGTTCATAGGCGTCTTCTTAGAGAAGGAGCCTCGGGTAGATTAAGTCCAATTGAATTGTAAAATAATTCTTAGTGGATTATTCATCATCTGGGCGTGGCCCCGTGGAGTAGTGTGTGACCGAACTGTGATACCAATTGCGATACAAATTCTCTTGTGTTCTTTCATTTTACATTTCTGCATTATTTATATTGTCTTGCAAAATATTAAAAGACTCAAACCGATACCTACATTAACGAACAACACGGTTTAACAGTGTGTTTGGTAGGGTGGAAAAGAGAGAGGAAAGAAAATAGAAGAAGGATTTTGGAGAGGAAAATAGAATTTTAGGTTGTTTGGTAGAGAGGAAATGAGGAAGGAAGGAAAATGAAAATTCATGGGGCTCACCAATTTTTAATCCTTCCAACTTTGGGAAGAAAAAAGGAGGGAAAAAGTTCGTCAAGCAAATGAGATGTAAAATAATAATTTTAACCTTCACCATTCATCATATTTTTATTTGTATTGTGCTATTATTGTAAAATGCCTTAGTTTTGACATTTTATTTTTACTTTTCATTCTCTTCTACCAAACAACATGAGAGAAAACCATTTTACTTCCTTCACCTAAGTGTTTTATTTTTCCTTCCTTCTTCTTTTCTATCCATCCTACCAAACATACTGTAAATGATCTAAAATGTAATTAAAAGTTCAGTAAAAGCAAGAACACACGAGAATTATAGTGGTTCACCCTTGATTTGAGAGCTACATCCACTGTGGGAATGAGAGAAAAATCACTATTATGGACAGATTACACACATTGTTGCTCAAGGGGAGACATGGATTTTTTGATATATAATCCCTTATTTATACCATAGGTCACTGCCCTTGCTTGTTTCCTTACTTAAATTTGGGATATTTCCTTTATCTTTTGGGATAGTTTCCTAAAAGACGAAGATTATAATTAATCAATGTGGTTTCCTTATTTGAATTTCATATATTTAAATTACAAATAGTAAATCTTGAAGCAATCCTTCAGATCTTTATCTTTGCGTAGCCTCGAATCTGTAAATGTTTCCTTTAGGTTCTTCGCTTATGTCTATGAGTGTGGTCGGCCTCATGTCCATCCTTTATGCTTCTCACAACGATCGACCTTTTATTTACGTTTGACACCCTTTGTAACGGTAAACTCCTAAGTGGGTTTGTTGACATGACATTTAGGGTTGAGCTGTCCTTGATCTTTTAATGTATTTCTTTACGTCTTGATCTTTTAATGTATTTCTTTACAGCTTGATCTATGTATCTTTACGGCTTGATCTTTTAATGTATTTCTTTATAGCTTGATCTTTTAATGTATTTCTTTATGGCTTGTGGGCCCCATTCATAGTCTAATTTAGGGTTCAACGTTTTATCTTATAGCAATGTTCTTACGTTTTTAATTTATGAAAAATGCTAGCATCACTTTTTTAGTCATTTTATTTGTCATTCTCTGCCTTCACTATTTAATATGTGGACTCCACTATTACAAAAAGAGTTATAGAAATAGTGGCCCTAATAATTATATTTTCACAATGTGTGCTCTCTAAAAGTGTTGAAATGGCTTATTTTTAAAATAATAAAACTCATCTTAAAAAAATAAACAAAACTTGGACCAAGTCTTTTAGGAATACGTTAACCATGTTTACGTGCACATTAATAGTTGACTTTTCATAAGCAAACCTATAGTCTATAGTTTGTCCAACTTCCAACTATTATATACTAGAGAGTGAGGTCCTAACGGTAATTGACTATCGTAATGGATCTGTAGTTAACAATGTGTTTGGTAGAGTGAAAAAAGGAGATGAAAGAAATTAGAGATGGGATTTTAGAAGCAAAATAGAATATTAAATTGTTTGATAGAGATAGAAATAAAGAATAGAAAATTATAGTTCTACATCTTAAAATACCTGATTTACTAAAAATACCATTAAAAAAAACTCAATTCTTTGACTAGTTCTAATCTAAAAGGTAGAAATACTTAGACTAATGTTAAGAGATATAAATAAAGGAGGCTCTATTTCAAGGGGTATTTTTAAAAATTGCCCAATAATAAAGGAATGAAGATGGAAATTCATGGGGCTCACCATTTTTTAATCCTTCCAACCTTGAAAAGAAAATAGGAGAGAATAAATTTGACAAACAAATGAGGTGTAAAATAATCAGTTTAATCTTAACTATTCGTCATATTTTTATTTGGATTGAGGTATTATTGTAAATTGTATTAGATTTAACATTTTCTTTTCACGTTTCTTTATCTTCTACCAAACAACATGAGAGAAAAATTCTAATTCTATCATTTTACTTCCTTCACTTGAGTATTTTACTTCTTATTCTTTTCTCTTTTCTATCTATCCTACCAAACATAGCATAAGAGTTCGAGTGTTAAATAATCCCTTTTAATGGTTTTAAATATGAAAGTTTGCAACTAACAACCTAGTACTCAATTTATAGTGATTGGGACAACGGCCTACATATCCCTACCATTAGCATATTCGGTGGAGCTGAGGTGATAAGTTCCTCATCTCAAGATTTCGATCGTATGGCCTTCACTGAACATTCTAGTCAGTGCTTGGGGAGCTCCTTTGCTAACACTTAGGGAGAAATACTAACGTTGGTCGCTCCATTCTCATATTTTTTTTAGCCAAAAATAATAATTACTGTGTGTGTGGATGAGTTTTCAGTTGTTACTTTTCCTCCATTAAATATAGAAAACATATGGCATGGCGCGATAAGAATCTAATATCATTAATTATCATAATTTTTTTTATCAACTATCTAATTTATTATAACCGTCGGATCATTATCTTACGATTATAACAATGATACCTATTAATGTGTAATATTAGAGCAACGATTAAAACCACACCCAAACATGTGTGTGTATGAGAAAATTAGACAAATGAACGTCTTTTTACCATCATTTTTATTAAATATCCGAACTTTTACTTTTAAGACAAATGACCAAACTTTTTTTTCCTAGAGAAATGATTATTTTCTTATAAGAGGTCATTTTTTATTTTCTCCTCTCTCGAGCACAAAGAGAGAGAGACATTAATGAGTTTTTTATACTGAAAACAATCTCTTAATAAAACTACCAAATGCATTTTCAAAAATGATTTCTGTCTTAGATTGAAAACGTGTTCGGGTGCGTTTGGAACTCGTTCTAAAATGATTTTATTTTTTGTATGAAAATGAAAATAAAAACGTTTTCAATCTCAGACAAAAATCATTTTTGAAAATGCGTTTAGTAGTTTTATCAAGAGATTGTTTTCAGTATAATAAAATTTATTAATGTCTCTCTCTCCCTGCTCGAGAGAGGAGAAAACAGAAACAAAAAATAAAAAATGACTAAAAGTCGTTTTTCATTTTTCTCTCATTTTACACTAAACCAAAAAATCGTTTTCATTTCCGTTTTTTGTCTTTAATTGTGCCAAACGCCGTTTCTCTCCCATTTTCATTTTTTCTTTCTCGAAAAACGTGAAAAAGAAACAACTCCAAACACAGCCTTCATGTTTATTTTCATACAAAAAATAAAATTATTTTAAAATGAGTTTCAAACGCGTCCTTAGTGATAAATCATAATTAATTAATGATAAGCTGGTTTACGATCATTTTATCAATGATTTATCACTGAAAAATTGATAATTTATTGCTTAAAGTTAATTAATTAATAATTGACATTCGTTAATCACTAATTAATCACTGACATCATAAATTAAAGTTAATAAAAAAATTCATTTTCTTAATTTTACAAAATTTCCATCATTTACTAAGAAAAACCCTAAAAAAATGACATTTACCTCAAAATCTCATTATATTTTAGTAAAAGTTGATGTTTGGTAGAGGGATTCGTTACTTGATTCGAATCATGATTCGTGGTTCGTTATAGTATTTTCTCTCACAAAAAATACACGTAAATTAAAAATAGTTTGAATCACATGATTTGAATCCTCTAACTAAACGTAGAGATATGATAAATTTTAGGAAGGGGATCCTAGAAACTAGAAACTAGAAATTATATAACAGTGAATAATAATAACATATTATAAGCACCAACCGACGTGGTTTATATAAGATAATCACATATCCAATTGTATTTCCCATTCGTGTGACCCCACACCAATGGTGATCCATCATCACCAATATTTTATTTATAATTTTCTTTTCAGACAATAGACTGTTTCAGATCCATGAAAAGTAAAAAAAAAGGAAAAAAAAAAAAAAACTGCTTTAACTTCGTTCTAACACACCACACAGACGAAAAATAACATTTTCACATAAATACACATATATTTTTTTTTCCCTTTTTCGTTAGGATTCATATAACAAATCCCAAAATTCCCGTACTTGAATTCGAAATGGTGGTTCACCTCCATAGATGAATTCGTTCGGAAGCAAAACTCCTTCGGAGATGTGCTTTGATGACTCTCTACAGGCACGCCAACGAACCGCCATTACCGGAGAGAAGATCAGCTATCGCCGGCGACCATGTCGGTCGAGCTCTTCGCAAGGGGAAGAGATTTCCATTTCCCACTCCAAGGCTGAAGCTCTCTCGCTGGCTTTTCCTCTTCGCTTTCATCTTTCTCATTTACCTCGTCGTCTTCGGCCTAAAAACGCCATTTTTTGGTAATTATTTCGTCATTTTCTGATGCATTGTGTTGAGAGTTTCATATTACTGCTTAATGCTTGTTTAATTGTTGTAAAACAAAAATCTGGAAGTTTATAGTTTTAGTAAATCCAGTAACAAAAACACTTTATGATGTAATGTTAGGATTTAACTTCAATAACTAGGTAGTTTGATACACATGTCTAATCTTGTTACCATAAAAATGGTACTTCTAGGTAGTTTGATACATGTGTAATATTGTTAGCATTTTTCAGTTCAAAAATAAATAAATAAATAAAAATAAAGGTTCCTTCTTGGGAAGGGTCAGACCAATTTGCTGCTAGAGATTCTGTACGTGTTCAATTTTGGTGAATATGTCTTGACTAGAGCTACATTATTCATTTATTGCAGATAGTAGCTTTGAAGTAAATGATTTGGCCCATAGGGCACATCCGATAGAAGATAATGATTTAGTACAGCAAGGAGTTCACCATCATATTTCGGGATCTGATTTAGTAGAGCAAGATGCTCGACATAATTTTTCGGGATCTGATTTGGTACAGCGAGAAGTTCAACATACTTTTTCGGGATATAATGTTGGGAGACCACCACTCCCCAAAAGCAAAAGCAGCAAGCGCCGTAGACTGCGTAAGAATACTTTGCTTGTGTTTTTCGAAAAACTGTATCGTGTTGTATTAACTTGAGTGCCTTGCTTATTGGTGGTTGTGATAGTTTTTCTTAAGCATATAGTCTCCAAATTTTCTATAATTGTCAATTTCTCTTTGAAGGACCTTGTAATTAGAATATATACAGCCAACGATGTGCCTCTTCTATTGATTCAAAGATCTAAGCAGTCTTGTAAAAATTTGCCTAAGAAATTTGTTAATTTAAACTCTGAAAGTTGCCTGTTTCTTCAATGTTTATTTGTTTCTTATTTCTACCCGAGTTTTGGGGAGAGAATGAGTGGGTGAAAAAGCCGAAATGGGTCTAGTTCTGGTTTATTATACAATTAAGCTGTTGCCCTAGAACTTTTAAGGTTGCACTACTTGACTTGATGAGATTTAACTCTATTATGTACCTTTAAATATATGGTCAGGTGGTCCAACTGCTCCAAGCTCTCTGTAAGCTTGTCGGATTTTGGTATTTCGATCATATCATGTTGTGTGCCTATATAGGACCAGGGATTAAACAAATTGCTAAAACTAGGAACTTGACTGCGAATATGCAATTGACGTTTTTGCAGTCATGGCAACTATGTTCATAACAGAAAAAAAAAAGGTAATAGTTCAGAGTGTATTTGACGTAATGAGTGCAAACCTCTCAACTTGTGCAAGTGCATTGTTTGAATTTATCTTTCTAATTCTATTTGATTTACTAAATGGAGTGATTTGCTATAGCTCTGTGAGTGGTAATATTTTGCTCTGTCTAACTGCATGGCTTGTGCTCATTATTTAATCTCTTTTTTTCTTTTCTTCTTCAGATTTGCCTTGCGAAATTGTCTTTGCGAAATCAGTTGAGTATCTTATTGAACCAAGGGACCTCATTCACTTTACACAATTTTCACTAGAATATATAGAGCGAGAAGAAAAGGCTTCTTGGAACAAAGTTTTTGAACCTAGATTTGGAGGACACCAGACACTTGAGGAAAGAGAACAATCCTTCCAGGCCAAGAATCAAACTCTTCATTGTGGCTTTGTGAAAGGACCACCAGGGTACCCTAGCACTGGATTTGATTTAGATGAGAAGGACAAGGAATACATGAATACCTGTAAGATTGTAGTTTCTTCATGCATCTTTGGCAACTCTGACTTTTTGAGGAGGCCAGCAAGGAAAACAGTTAACCCTCTCTTCCTTTTCTACTTTCACTTTCCATTTATAATAGCAAGCCATGACAAGTATATATGTTCCTTGACAAATCTGTTGAATGGCTTGATTGTTTATACTCCTGACTTTTTTGTAGCTTACTTGCATTTAAGTCAGTCATGAATTTCCAATAGAGTGGTATAAGCATTATTGTTGCCATTGATCTCGAGAACTTATATCCTGAATCAGGCACCGTGTTTAAATTTGTCATTGTGGGAAATGTGTGTTTCTGTTAATGTCTCAGTACAACATGGTGCATGCATATGTGATATTTTCCGTGGTTTTCTTTCCTATTAGAATCAACAAATTCATTCTTGTTCTATAGATAAGTGACTTTTCGAAGAAGCATGCATGCTTTATTATGTTTGTGGATGAACAGACACTGTCAAACCTGTCATCGGAGGGAAGTGTTCCTGATGATGGAGGAAATATTGGCTTATGGAGAATAGTTGTCGTGAGGAATTTTCCTTACAAGGACATGCGGAGAACTGGAAAGGTGCCAAAATTTTTATCACATCGACTCTTCCCTTCATCCAGGTAATTCACTATGCCAAGTTAGAACCACTAGTTATGAGCCCAATGCTTTTTCAAGGTCACTAAAGTTTGTGTTTGACCTCTAACGGACTCCCGCCCATGTTTTTTCAAGGTATTCAATTTGGCTTGACAGCAAGATGCGGCTTCAGAATGATCCAATGCGTATTCTTGAATACTTCTTATGGAGGACAAAATCCGAATATGCCATATCGAACCATTATGATCGCCACTGTGTGTGGGAGGAGGTACTCCAAAATAAGCGCCTAAATAAGTACAACCACACGGCCATTGATGAGCAGTTCATTTTTTACCAGTCTAATGGCCTCACGAAGTTTGACCCATCAAACCCAAATAATCCCCTTCCAAGCAGTAAGTTTCTTTTGTATATTCTATTTAGCCACAGAGATTTCTGTTCCTTTCATGTAAAGTTGTATATATTTTGCTAAATCCGCTTGTTGTATGCCCTACAGATGTTCCTGAAGGTTCCTTCATAGTTCGGGCACATACACCAATGTCAAACCTATTCTCCTGCCTTTGGTTTAATGAAGTTGACCGATTCACCTCTCGTGATCAACTAAGTTTTGCATACACTTTCCTGAAGTTGAAGAGAATGAACCCAGATAAACCGTTCTACCTTAATATGTTTAAGGTATTACTGCATTTCTCTAGATCAACTTCGATATACTTTTAAGTTGATGATCCCTTTGATTAGGAAAAAGTTGATCCTTTATTAGAGTAATATGCTTTTCTGCGTGTAATTCATAACCTCTGAGTAACTTCTGACAAAGAGGGGTTGGGATCTTTCTGGGGATGAGAATGTGATATTAGCAATCATGTATTTCATTGGTTTTAGGGTTGTTACTGGGAATGTCAAGCTGTTCCCAGATGTTAGTACATAACGGTATACTTGCTGACAACTGCTTATTTATAGTGATAGTTGTTTGAATATGTTTTCTTAAAATTTGTGTCAGGACTGTGAGCGCAGAGCACTAGCAAAGTTATTCCAACACAGGGTATTGCCACCTCCTCCAGCTGCTTCGTGATCAATTGAAATTCTTCACACCATTTTTCTGGTAAGATTGAGCTTTTATGCATTTCTTCTGGTGAACTTATGTTATCCTCCCTCCATTTTTTACTACTTTGATGCCATTTGGCTATACTTAAATACCACCGGAGGAATTGAATTACAATTTTTTTTTTTGGGTATCGGAATATATTACCAGAAAGTCGTGTACTAAAACAAGAAAATTAGAATAAAAGGTTGAAACAGTCATGTCCATCTGAAGTGACACTCGAATGAGTATCTTTTCAACAAGCTTTGGGTCACACTACTGTCATAATGTGGACATAGTAGTTGATTGAAACAGTATGTAAACCTTCTGAGCAAATGAATGTAATCTACACATAATTGTGATTGAAACTGTATTTACCCACCCCGAAAAATATTGTATATGCCAACGTCAAGAAGATCTGACAGAATGTGGTATATGCAGACATTTCAATTTTCAACTAAACGAGGAATCCTCGATTGCTACATCAAAAAAGGAAATGGAAGTAGAACCAGTCCATCTCGGATGAGCTTTATGGGATTTTTCAGAATAGGCTCTTTCAAAGTTGGTTCGGTAGATTACTTTGCCGTTGCTGCTAAGGGAAAGGCTGTAGATTTTTTTGCATCGTGGTATGTAGCACAGAGAGAGAGAGAGAGAGAGAGAGAGAGAAACAAATCGCAGACTGTTTATACATTATGACAAGGTCCACAACTATTGCTTGTTCTTGAAAGCTTACAAAAGTGGAGGACAAGTCAAGTTTGTTGTTCAGTATTCTCATAGTCACTAGGTCTCTTTTATTATTATTATTATTAAATTGCATGATCTCCAGTTATAGAAAGTTCATGTAAATGGGACGTACGCGTTGATAATAGAAAAGCCAGTGTATATTTATAGAAAACCGGCTCTGAAAGAACGGGTGAAGAAGGTGATGGCAATATGAATTTAGAATCGTTGTATCTAAAACTCTATTGCTGTAGTATTATTCTTAATTAATGGAAAAGATTTTCTATTATTATTGTTGTTATTGTTGTTCTACAAAAATGGATAAAATTATTTTGATATCTTGTATTATAAGAAACATGTTCTTAGTATTTTGTGTTTTTGATAATATTAAAGCAGTATATTGATGTTCTTAAAAATATATTATTGATATCTAATGACTTTACTATCTTTCTATTTAATTAATTAAAAATTAATAAATATAAAAAAAAATCATCAACTTTTTGTTGTGTTATTTTCTGTTCATTATCCTCATAAGCAGATAGCACATATTTTATAGCGCCGCAATCCTCCAAGGTTGCACGACAGAAAATGACGCCATTGTCAGCGAAGAAGAGGTGGCTTACTTTAGGAGCTCCTCGAGCACGAAGAAAGCCCAGATGCACGAACGTACATGATATGACGGTGTAAAACCGTTTTCTCAACCAATGAGATCACAGTCAAAACATTTTTTTTTTACATGATTTATCGGTAGGCCAAAATGTGGGGAGATGCACTTGAAAAACTCCCTTATAATATGTATAATACGGGCTTTTAATATTAATTAATTTATATTATAGATATAAATATCTATTTATATTGATTAAAATCAAATAAGCAAAAAAAAAAAAATTTAAATAAAAAACAAATAAAAGTAACAGAATTTATCTGGTGTTCTCTCTTTTTTGAGAATACCGGTGCTATTTTCTTATTAGTCGTCGAATATGTATTATTCTTTCAATCTGATTTGACTTTTAATCAGATTTGATACAGATCTGACAGTTGATAAGCAGGGAATACCAGTGTTCCCAAAAAAAAGTCTCTAAAACAAAAATAAAACAAAATAAATTAAACTAATTAAAAACAAACCAAAATAAATTAAAATTCAGAACTAAGCCGGTTTTTTTGCAAAATTAGGTAGTAAAATAACTATTTATAAAGTTATCAATGTGCATGCTGACTTTGTTTTCTTTAGGCCAAATATTGACTTGGACAATCGTCTACACTAAAAGAGAAATTAAATAATAATAATAAAAAATCTATATCCTGTTCGATGACTACATACAAGTTCATGTTAAATTTTATAAACCTTTTGCTCCAAATACTTCAACTGCTCTTCAATAAAGGGTAAGCATCTTCCCCATGAGTGCATATGAGCTCTACAACTTCCTTTGTGACTACTCGTCCACAGGAGCTAATGACAATGGCTGTCGCAATTCCTTCAACTTTGAACCAATGAATCAGGCGTTTCTTCCTTACAATATCATCAAAAGGGACCGCTAACCAAGGCATGCGAGAGAAGCATTCGTCAATGGCGCACTGTTCTTCAGAGGAGGATGGATCATCGTAATAGGTGACAAAGATTACATAAAATGCATCATTTGAATTTTGCTTTTAATATGTCTTGATAAGCTTTGGCCTGAATTCACAGCAGTCGATTTCTGAGAAATAGAGTAGGATGTTCTTTCCAGCTAGTTCAGAGATTGGCACCAAATCAAGAACTTGATTTATAGATGTTAACATATCACTAACAAGATAAGTAAAAAATTCACAGATTTAGGACTAGAAGGTCCTACCTTGGAACCGCTTTTTCCGATTACAAAATCTTTACCTTCATAAACCAATAGCGACTCCATTTATTGTAGTTCTTGCTTTGCTTTCTCAAGCTCATCAAGTTTTTGGGGAGTAAAAGGGTAGGCATCAATGCCATGTTCTTCAATAAGTGCAACAAAATTCTGATTTAGGGCCCGTTTGAAAGGTATATCATAATTCTTGATTCTGACGTTTGAAATTTAAATTTTGTGTAAGAGAAAAACACTAAACAGAATCAATGATTTGAGTTTGGATATATAAAACAAACGGACCATTAAAGTCTTTCCATCTTGACCTAATGACTAGCTTAGAAATTGGGTCTCTAACATCAAGAAGATGCTCAAGTTTTTGGAAACCGATTTTGTCTTTGTAAGGCAAGGCCAACCATGGCATGGTTTTACATAATTGCATGTAGTCTTCAACTTGTAAGTAGTCTGCTACGAAGACAACCTCGAATTTCTCACCTTTCTCGTTGAGCTTATTATAAACATCGACAAAGATGTTAATAAAATCAAGGCAATTACTAAATAGAGCCCAACCGTTTCCCCAACAAGTTCGGAGACAGGAACCTGCAAGTACATACAATTAAAGCTCATCAATTACATCAACCATGTGAGAAAAGGAAGCAGGACATTGTAACTAGCTCCCACAAAAATTAAGGTCATGTTTGCTTCCCGGGTTTGAGCTACAATTAGACCTTTATGCCACAATGTTTTTCTCATGTAGAATTTGAATTTCTGTTTAAATCTATAAAGCGTAACGGTTAGTAAATAATTTTAGTTATACCTGATAGCCATCATTTAAAAGCAAATAATCACGGAACTTAAAGATGAGAAGGGATGTCAAGGATTGATTCCTCTTGGCTTCTTCATCTTGCTCTTTCAAGAAATTGAATCTTTCGCGAGTAAAGGGATAAGCATCCGCTCCATAGATCCCGATCACGAGGGGGTTCCCTTCCTCAGTTTAAAGCTTATCATTGGAGCCAATAATGACACAAGAATTCGACGTCCCACCACAAACCACTTCGACATCCTCTTCTTTATGTCTTCTACCTCAGAGAATGGACGGCCAGCCATGGCATTTCAGCAAAAGAGCGTTTGAATCACCTCTTGGTTCTATCAAACGACACAAAAACCACTTCGAAATCACCTTTCCTCGCCGCAGAGTTCTCAATAGACATCTACTAATTTTGAAGTACAATAGCCAAAACCACCGCCCGATGATGATCGAAATGTATCCCCATTGTTGACGGTTGGATTTCGTCAACAATAAACCCGCCGGATTACCTTGGGGTTACCCTTTAGATTACCGGCTTATGGGTTTAGTGAAAGTGTGGATTCTAGTTTGATTTAAGTATTTTTGTATTTGAATGAGCTGTATATAGATGAACAAGAAGGATTTTATAGTGGTTCACCCTATAAAATTAGAGCTACATCCACTGTATATATTATATTTCTTTTGTGGAGATCATCGTTTTCAGTGAATGCTCTCTCTCTCTCTCTCATTCTTTTTTCTTTGGAATTTTTCTGGACCCCTTCCCTATTGGGGTCCTTCTTCTTTTATACTCGGGCTTCCTTCACTGGGTGGGTTTCCTTCGTAGGTAGGAACACTCAAGTGCTCTAGGCCCAGACATAGCCCATTAATTAGTACTGTTCACTCAACCAATTAGTCTTCTATTACGGCTCTGTGACTCTCCGTAATGCTTTTCTGTCCCCTGGGGGGCGGTTTGTAAACTTGCAATTAATGCTGTCAGACTTATCTTATCTTTGCATGTAACCTATCATGTCGAAAAGGGACGTTCCCCTCGTCGTTAGTGGTTGTTTAACCTTTCTCGCCCCTTCTAGTGATCTCTTCTGCAGTCGAGAGATCTTGTCGTGTCGACCCAGGCAGAATCAACCGTCGACGCCTCATGGGGTCGTCGCCCTAATCATGGACTTCATCTTCGGGCTCTATAGCTAATCTTGAGGGAAACGAAGCGTCGAGGGTTGGGTGCTCGGCGAAAAACAAGTATAACCACGTGTCGTGGCGCCGTTGGTCCAGGTGTCCATCACATTTTCCTACACAACACCCACTATCTTCCCAACCAAGCTACTGATTTTTACCTAATCAATATATCAATATGGTATGTACTTGTATCAATAATCATGAATCAAAATTCTTCAATATACAATATATATATATATATATATATATCGAAGCAAAAGGATCATGAAAAAATAACTAACTCCGCATAGATAAAAGGAAATCGCAATTGCGTTATGCAAAAATCATACTTCTTTTTTGGCAAAATATAATAACAAGAATAGAGGAAAATACCTGGTCGCCATTGTTGCGGTTGAGAAAGTCCCTCTGGTCGGAGGAGAAAAGCGCCGACAAGTCATGAGTGATGCCATAATCGCCGTCACACGTTGTTCTACCATAATGAATCGTCGTCAGAGTCGGCCATTGCTTGGTGAATTTCTTTGTTTGTTTGTTTCTTTTTTTATATTTTATTTAAAAATTCGAACTTCTATTTATATTTACTCCCCGTGAAAGCGATATAGCCAATACACGGATTTCGTAAACGCCAAGAAACAGAAAAAGAAAAACCGCAACGCCGACTCAGTTTTAGTTTTGGAAGAAATAAAATAAAATAAAATAAAAACAGAAAAGTTTCCCAAAAAAAAAAAAGATTAAGCAAGCAAATAAATAATAATAATAATAATAGTAATAATAACAACAACAAAATATATAAAAAAAATTACTAAATAAAATAAAACGTTAATAAAAAAGTAGAAAGTAGCTTATCTCAATATTTTGTATTTTCCTTGAATTATTTGTTTGTTGAGAGATAAGAATTGTATTTGCTTTTCGAATTAGACTTCCTTTAGGTTTTGGTTCCTATAAATAAGACCAGTTATTTTCCGTTTCATTACTCCCGAGTCTAAGAAGACAGTGTGAGATTTTTCTTTTCTGTTTTTACAAACGCTCTTCTACACCACTCTCAATGGACTCGTTACCCTCCTTCTAAGTTCAAAAATCATCCATCTTTAAGGGGTCCACATGCCATTGATTGTTCTTCTCATTCCAATTGTGGGCGCCATTGGTTTCCTACACACCTTGATCCATTAAAATCGCAACAAGTCCCTGTCAACCAACCGGCGACGATCGACCATATCGAAGACACAACGGTCATCCATTCGAAGACGATCGACGAAATCCAATACGCGAAAAAACGGCCTATTTTGACAAGCAGTCAGAGAGTCCTTCTATCGGACAAAATCAGAGACTGCCCTATTTGCTGGGAAGGATATGAAGAGAAAGATGAGGTTGCGCAGTTGGTTCTTTGCCAGCACATGTTTCACTATTCATGCATTGCAGATTGGTACAAGATCGCGATATCAAAAAGTCATGTCCGATGTGTCGTCAGGTCATCCACCGTCTCCCCATGCCTGAAATCGTAAAACAACCAGCTGACAGCTTTTTGCTAAAAGAATTTGGAAATTCTTTGAGAGGGAGAAGATTCTTAAGGCCCCGTTTATTTTGAGTTTTGTTACAGTAAAAAACTATCAGAAACAGTCACATTTAACTTTTTTGTTACAGTAAAAAGTTCTTACATAGAGTCACATCTCAACTCAAATTAAAAACTCGAATCAATGAACTAAACAGACCTTTAAATTAGTTAAGAAATTAGTTGGAAAGTGAATTCGGAATGTTTCTCTTTTTTTTTTTTTTGAAGTTTAGTTCATAAGATTTTCTTTTGTTATTTTTATTATGATATATAAGTTTAAATATATGTGATTCACCCTTTCTATTTTTTTTTTTCCTAAATTGTCTTAGAAATTGAGTTATCGTTTGCGAAATGCCTCCATTCATCTCAAATAATTGTGATAATTTCTTTCTTTCTTTCTTTCCCTTTTTTTTTCGTTAATTAGGTCTGATATATTTTAGTTTTTAATATGCAACACGTTAAACAACTGTTCTATATTACGGCAACCATACTGAGCGATGATATAACAACAAAGATTACGGTTGATAAAAGAAAGTTGTTCACTTTTCATATCACTTGAGGCTATTTCGGATTTGAGGACGAATCTTTTTTCTACATGACTGTTCTGATGCAGTGTGTGAGGGCCCAACTACAAACCAACCGGTTAACCGGTTTAACACGTTGCTTTAACCGGACGACAAAGGCCTCGGCACAGTGATTTTTGAATGACAAATTTAAAAAAAATAACTCGAATTATAACTTTATTCGAGTTCATGTTCTTTTAAGTTTGAACTCGAGTTTAGAACTAAAACTCGAGTTTAAGTTTCCCCTTCAACTCGAGTTCAGAAACTCGAACTCAAGTTAATGAACATTATTTTTTCTATTCTTAAAAATGATATAACTTTTTCGTTTTAATTCTGATTGAGATGATTTTTTTTCTAGGCGCTAACAATGAAAAGACGAATAAAACTAGACCCATATACCCTATTAAAATTTTTCATCAGCATTGAGTTTTTATTAAAATACTATCTAAATACAAATTTAAATTTTAACTTACTCAAACACAAACTCAAAAAAAATTCTTATCTCAAACTATAACTCAAATGTACACAACCAAACACAAACTCATTACAACTTCAACTCAAGTTATAACTCAAACTCAACTCAAAATCTACACTCAAGTTACCTAACTCAAAAATATCAAAAGAACAAGCCCAAAGGCTTTTTAGTAGTAGTAGCGCTTTAAGTTTCTATTCAATATTATTTCTTGTTTTGTTATTTCCCATTTAATTTAATGGCTTATTCTTTAGAGTGAAAAATTTAAAAAAATATAACTCGAGTTATAATTTTATTTGAGTTCATATTTTTTTAAGTTTAAATTCGAGTTTAAACTCGAGTTCAGAAACTCAAACTCAAATTAATGAACAATATTTTTTATATTATTAAAAATGCTATAATTTTTTCGTTTTAATTTTGATTGAGATGATTTTTTTTTTCTATGCGTTGACAACGAAAAGACGAATAAAACACGATCCATATACTCTATTAAAATTTTTCATCAGCATTGAGTTTTTATTAAAATATTATATAAATACAAATTCAAGTTTTGACTCACTCAAATACAAACTCAAAAATATTCTTATCTCAAACCATAACTCAAATGTACACAACCAAACACAAACTTAAGTTACAAGTTCAACTCAAATTATAACTCAAATTCAACTCAAGAATTATACTCAAGTTAAACTCTAAAAGAATAAGTCCTAAGTTATTTCCGCATTTTAGAATAGGATTAGTTTCCTTTGGTTTAATTTCTAAATTTAGAACTGGGTTTGTTTATTTTATTTTATTTTTGAATCATCTATTTAAATATGAGTTGTAGGATTGTTATGGATTATTCAGTTCAGATATTATAATAAAATTTAGAGTTTATTTTCTCTATTTCAATTCTCTCCATATTTTGTGGAATCAATGAGATTGATATTTATTTTTCTGACATTTGTTAGCGAGTTTTTCCACATTCTAGGTGAATCATAAATCTTAAGAATTTATCCCTTTTTTCTATTTTTTCTCACGCTTGGCTGCATCATAAAACGACGGCAAACTCTCAAACACAGAACGACATGTCCCATCTGCGTAAACGACAGTCTGTTTTTGACTTTCTAAAGCGAAACACACAAGATACAAATACAAACAATAAACATTTTTTCCCCCATAGCTGTTGGCATACAGAGGGAGAGAGCCGGCAAGTCGATGATTATCGGCGGAGAATATGGAGGCGTGCTTGACGAGGTGCTGCAACGGCGGTTCTCTTCTCAGAGCCCTCAAACCTCTCCATTCGGGACTTTCAAAGCCACTCCGTTGCTCTCTCTCTTCTACGCCTCTCCACTCCGGTACCGCTTAACGCTTATTCATGGAATATCTGATTGTTATATTTATATTTATATATATATATGTATATGTATATGTAATAGAAACTAAAATTAACAAACATTTGATAAAATGTAGACTGATTTTTGGAGTTGTTTAGATATTTTGATGAAATATGGAATAATAGGATCTGTTAGAAGAGCATACGACGGACTGTTGTTGGACGCCGGAGGCACTCTCTTGCAGTTGGCCAAGCCTGTCGAAGAGACTTATGCTTCAATCGGAGCCAAATATGGTTGGTTTTTTTTTTTTTTTTTTTCAAATTATCTTTATATTTTACTTTTGGCTTTTGGGTTGTAAAAATGCTAATTCTTGTGTAAATGTGCGATTCGTTAACAGTGTTAGTTGTGTTATTCGTCAGAGAGTTAGTTAAAACAGTTAAACTTGTGTTTGTGATGTCGTTCAGGCCTGACTTCTACTCCAGATGAAATAAAGCTGAACAGAAATTTTTCTATTTTTACTTTTATTTTTATTGCTATTGGGTTACGAAAAATGCTTAAATGTTTTCCAATAAGTTATAAACTGTGGCTCTCAAAAATTGTGAATTTGTGATTTGTTAAAAGTCAACGATGCTCAAAATAGGTTGTTGGGTTGTTCACCGGAGAATTAATTGACTGACAGTTAAATTTGTGTTTGTAATGTTTTTCAGGTCTTTCTGCAACTCCAGCTGAAATAAAGCAAGGATTTAAGAGAGCTTTTGCTGCTCCATCATGGCCCGAAAAGCTTCGCTACCAGGTTTCTGTTAAATTTCAGAGATCTCTAGATTTATTATTTTCATTCCAAGTCAATTCATTATGCAGTGTTTTTATTTTTTCTGGGATTCTAGTTGAGCTATTTTATGTTTACTGACAGGGAGATGGGAGGCCATTTTGGAAACTTGTTGTTTCTCAGGCGACTGGGTGTTCCGACATCGATTATTTTGAAGAAGTTTATGAGGTGATCTTTCTTTGAATGCCGACTTTGCTTGTTTTATCATAAGCATTTTCACCGGTAGTTTTGAATATCAGTGGTTGCTTTTGTTAGTACTACGCTAAAGGCAATGCTTGGCATCTTCCTTCTGGAGCCTATGAAACAATCGTCTGCCTCAAGGATGCCGGAGGTCATATTTACCAAGTATTTTTATTATTTTTTTTCTCCTCTTTGTTTTTCATGCTAGAAAATATTTGGTTCTTCCATTGTTTATGGACTTTTGATGCCTCTTTTTTTCTGTTACGGGCGTTGCATTCAACGATGCAGTTAAGGTAGCTGTTGTATCCAATTTCGACACCCGCTTGCGGACGCTATTGAAGGACCTCAATGTTCTAGACCTGTACAGCATTATCCCTTTCTTCTAATTGATCTTTACTATATATATTGGAATGAAAGAAAAAGGAAAACATGCTTTTTTGTTCTTCCAACAGTTTTGCCATTGTTTCTTTTACAGGTTTGATGCTGTCATTATATCCTCAGAGGTTGGATATGAAAAGCCAGATTCAAAGATATTTGAAGCTGCTCTCGGTATGCATAATGGAAGCGGATTTTCTCCTTTTTGATTGACAAGTTTTTGGGAAGTTTGATTTATTCTATAAGTTCTACTTATGCTCTACATCTATTTCAGTAAACTTCTAAATAGTTAGAAGATTTTCCATCTTTGCATCTTTGTGGCTTTCTGTTACTGTTTTAGATCAAATCAATGTGGAGGCATGCAAAGCTGTACATGTTGGGGATGATGAAAAAGCAGACAAGCTTGGTGCCAATGCCATCGGGATAGATTGCTGGTAAGAAAATTTGAAAGATTGTATGTATTAGTTTGTGCTTCCTTCGGAGTTATTTGATTAAATATAATCCATGATTGTCATTTTTGTTGATGTAAATATTGGTAAAGCTTGTGGGAATAGATTGAGAAATAGCTTATGAATTATGATAAAGCTACTTATTATTGATTCACAATAAGCAGGTTATGGGCCATAGATGTGAAGACCTTCTCAGACGTTCAAAATGGCATTCTCGTTTCAGGGTCATAGATTCCAAAAATCAAGTATGAGTAGCAAATCTCTCTTGACCATAATCCATGTTTCATTTGCTCCTTTTATTTTATTTTATTTTATTTTTTTGAGGGGGGACTTTGATGGAAAATGTGGTATATTTTCCTCTTATGTAATTTGTTGGGAGGAATATTTGAGCAAGGATAGACTCGGTTGCTTCGACGAAAAGGGTGGCAGAAAAAGAGAAATTTTTGGGAGTATTCAATATGATCATAAAATGGTCTTGAATGGTGCTGTGCAGCTGTTAATTATATTTAACTTTTTTCATGAATAAAAAATATTATTTGCATTCAACATGCATAATTATTTTTGTACTCGCAAAGTGATACCTCATTCGCCCGCTGGTGAATGGAAGTGAAATAATAGTGGAACTCAAGAATTTCCTAACATCTCGAGATTGACGATGATTTTAATTGATCATCTAATATTCCAAGAGAAAAAAAAAAAGATTTTATTGACAAATATAAACGCAAGGCGAATTATCGAGCATTGCTGCATTTATATTCAGCATTCCATTATTCATCTTTAAACCGAAATTTTTTTACCATCTCCTCAAAAGTTAAAACGCTGAATTATCAATATCGCCTCAACTTGAAAACGTCATTAGCGAAAGAGTAGAAAAGCAGCAACAGCACAAATGGATATCCATTAAAATTTACCTAAAAGTTAACAATACGACTTATCAAATGCCAAGACAAGCAAACATTTCTTCTAGGCAAGATAACGATACAATTTTCTGTCTGTGTTGTCCCTCTCCAAAAAATCACGCTCAATGAGGGACTCGATGCGTTTCTTAATCTCTGTTGGGTTAGCTAGGAATCGTGATTGCAACTGTTTTGTGACCTCAGCAATTATATTGTTGTGATCCAGAGTCTTCCTTGATTTCATGATCCTCACTATCGCAGCTTCAATCTGAGGCTTCCTGTCCTCCTCCACTCTCTGACGGGTCTCCTGTTTTTCGGGTTCTGATTCCTTTTGTGCAACAACAGTTCCTATCTTCACCTTATAGAATTTGCTTGCAAACTTGTCGTTAACGAAGAATGCATCATCCTCAACTATTTCTTTACTCATAGGCTCTTTACGAAGAACATTCTTTCCCTTCACGCACGCCAATGATTGCAGGCACCTCTTTAGATCCGGCGCAGGAATCTCCGTGGCCTGCTCAATCTCCTTGTAGCTAAGCCGATCAGCCTTATTAAACAGCATTAGGACACACATTTGATAAGTGGACACATTTAACTCATGCTTCTGGCCCTTCCCAAAGGAAGCCTTGATATCAGCTGTACCCATGTTACATTGCCAGGACAATCTCCGACCAGTATGGGTCCCAAGGTAATAGGATCTGAACTTCTCACATAATGCTAACATTTCTGCTGGAAGGTTGCATGTGACGCTGGGCTGAGTTGGCCAAGATCCAGTTGTCAGAACCTGGACAGTCAATGTGGGTCCACCCCCTAGTTCAGGATGGCTTGCATAAAATCCTTGCATTGTGTCTTGAGAAGTTTTCATGTCTGTAAACATGCCCTCTAATTTGCAAGTAAATTGATATCCGCACTCTGTCTTGAGCTTCACTATCAAACTTCTCTCTGCATCATCAGAGACAGTTTTACCAGACAAAAGCCTCTTTGCCAAGTGCTGCTTGTAATATTTTTCAAACACATCTTTTTCCTGTAGGTACCGGAACAATGTCATCACCTTGTCAAGAATAATTTCTACATCCTCCTCACTAACCCCCTTCAAACCTTTGCGGAGTTTGTCATCAACAAACAAAGAAATAAACTCGGGTGAACGTGGGTTCAGATTAAGAAAGTACTCAAATGATGAATTCAGAGCATTCTGAAATGTCTTGTCATTAGCAAACGATGAGCTAATAATTCCATCGTACTTATCTTTCTCATCCAAGAGTCGTTGCACAAATTCCACAGGATCCTTTGACTTTTCAGGATCAGTAACTAGCTGTTTACCAGTTTCTCTGATGTGAGAAGTCATCACCTCGCGTATTGTCAAAAGACCATTGGAAACCCTTCGGAACAAGTTGTACATTCTTTTTAGGTCTTCATACTTATCATCAAGAAGCATGTTTACCAGACCTGAATTTTCCATATGCACTAATCTTGGCATGTGGTTTGCAATCATCTCTTTCTCCACCACACTAGTTATCTTGACTTCGCTCCTTGTATCCAAGTAATGGGTAACCCTTTCAAACTCCTCATTCAAACGCCTCTCTGCCTCCTTCAAGTAATCCCCACAATCACAACAGTTAATAAACTTTTGTGACTCACCCTTGTAAAACTCAGCTGAAACTTCAAGAAAATGTTTCTCAAAGTCTTCTTGGTAAACAGAAGGGCCCAAATCCATCAGCAACTTAATTATATTCCTCATCAGCCCCCTGTTAATAACTTCACCACTCCGCTCCCTCTGTATTAGATCAAGAAGTGTAGTAAGAAGTCTAGTTTGAATATTAGGGGAGTGTACAATATTATCCCTCCATAGGTTCAGCCCAAGTTCGTGAACAGGGGTTTTCTGGGTACTTGGAATATAAGTCCTGTCCATGTACATCAGTATGTCTCGGATCATTTGCATAGCCTTATTGTGATCGTTCCATTTTCTGTTTAGTTCTTCAAGAAACAAACCTCCCTGAGCAGCTTCAATGGATTTCGATATCTCTATGAGATGAGAAGTCATGGTTGTAACCAGCCCCGAGTACAACTTTTCACCAAATTTGTGAAGCACCATATTGTAGGCATTTCTAAATTCACAGAGAAACTACAACATTATAAACTTTTCATCCTTTTTCTAAAATGAAAAAGCTCCACAAATCCGACAACAATAAAGCACGTGTATATGTGTGCGCGCGCGAGCGCGAGTGCAGTGTGCGGCTATTTCAGGAATTCATTAAGCATGTAACAAGTCGATTAGCCAAGCTTGTTTCTAGAAATTTCACAAAGCCAAAGAAGTATTTATTTGTCAAGAAGAAGCAACATATCTGACTCCAATTAGTTTGCATGAAGGTTTAAACTGTGCTCCTTAAAACAGTTCAATTCAAAGCAATTTGAGCCATTCTTATCCTTAATTAAAACAAACCCCAACCATAAAATAGACATCTCTACGCCCTATTCTTGTTCACTAATATAAACAGCAATCAACAAACATATTCAACTACGTATATTCGAACTGCAGGCAAAATGGTTAATAAACATTAAAACGCCCTAAGCTATAGAATATAGATGGTATCAAAATAGCCCTGCAGAATTTTCGCTTTAAACTAAGTTCACATTTCCATATAATAAGTAAACATCCTCGTCAATTTCTCTTCATAACTAAAATGCTTTCCTTTCATGTTTTTTTCTCGATATACGGCTTAATACAAATATGTCTCATATTTTTTGAAATCACGAACCCTAGAAACAAAGAATCCTCAAGTACTATAACCGAAGGCAACAACAAATCTTCTAAATTCAAGAACTATAATCTCAAACCATAGAACCAAATCGAGAGAATCGAATACCTAAACTACGATCAAAATCAACAAATGAAGAAAAACAAATTCACTAACTCTACACAAAAACAATCACAAGAACAAACGCAAATTGAAGAAGCGAAATTCAGAGAGAAAGAGAGACCGACCTGTAGAGCTCCTCAAAGCTGAGGCCACTGGCATTAAGATTGTAAATCTCGTGGATTGCATGTTCCAGAATCTTCCATGTCTTCTCGGCGTACTTCGGATCCACCACAACCTTGTGCTTGAACGCCTCAATCTGGAAATTCCGCTTCTTCTGGTTACTCATCGTTTCTTCTCCGTTTACAGAAACTTCCAAACCGAAACGCAAAGCTCTGATCGAAACGAGGCAAAAGAGGATCCGAATCCGAATCTGAGCCTAGAAATCCGACATGAGAATTGAGAAAGATCGAGGAATTTCTGTTCGAAGTTCGAAGTGAAGAAACGAAGAAGAGAACAGAGATCAAGAGAGAGTATTATGTATATTTTTGGTTGGAGGGAAAGCGAATTGACGAATTGAAATGAGAAAAGGGGGAAAAATGAAAAGGGTGGGATTGAGATGAAATATTAGATTGAGTGACGTTTTACCATTTATGGGATTTCTGTGAATCTGTGATTATCCCAATTGACCATACAGAGGATGCAAAGAAAAAACAAAGAAAATGCCCCATGTAGTCTCTTTTTTTTTTTCTTTTTTTTTTTTTCAATTTCAAAGAAAAATAAAAAAGAGAAAAGGAATTACCCAATGTACTTTTAAGGATCCTTTGGTAGGAGGAAAAAAAAAATATTGATGCAATTTCAAAAAATATATATTGATGAAATAATATTAAAAAATAAATTCATGCATGCTGTTTATAAACAAAATTTTATTGTGTTTCCAAAAATAAATTTAATTTCAAATTAGTTAAAAATAATCTAAGAAAGATCCTATCTTAATTTTATGAATTTCAAAATTAATTATTTTTAAATTCTAAAAATTAAAAAAGAAAAGAAAGAAAATGTTATTGTTTCTTGATTTTTCACTAAAAAAATCATTGGCCCCGTTTGGTAATGTTTTCGAGATGGTTTTACTTTCGGTACAAAAATAAAAATGAAATTGTTTTGAAAATCATTCTAAAACTGATTCTGAAATTACGTTTGGTGGTCTTTTAAGAGATTAGTTTTAGTATAATAAAAAAGTAAAATCATGTTTGGTTATATTTATGTTGGTTTTGAGTATATGTTATTAATGATCTTAAATTAATATATTAAGAAATTAATAATTATTTAGTAAATACAAATTAACATATTAATAATATAATAATAATAGATAAATTATCATTAATGAGTACATTAATAATTAAACTATATATAATAAATTAATATGCTAAATAATTAAAAAATAGTAATTAGTAATTAATTATAAGTAATTACTATGTTAGTAATATACTATATTTATTAGATTATAAATAATTAATTAGTGTATTAAGAAAAATAATTAGTATATATAATTTATTAATATTTCGTTAATTACTAATGTTTATTTAATAATCTATTCTTTGATATATAACATGATCAATTTTTGGCAGTTATTCTTTTTGTAATGATTAATTACTAATTATTAATGATTAATGATTAGTATATGACATATTAATTATTATAATTTAATATTAATTATTAATTGAATAATTACTATTTATTTTTTATTTACCAACTATTTATTAATTAATATATTATAATTAACATAATATATGATTGATATATTAACTATATTATTTATTGTTTTATTAATAAAATTAAAAACTTAATAGTAATAAATTAATGTTTAATTAATAATTAAATAATTACTATCTATTTATTAGTTATTAAGTATATCTATTTATTAATTATTAATTAATATATAATATAATTAGTAATTAATAATTAATTACTTAATATAACATTGTTGATAAGTACTGAAAATGAAAATGAAAAAGGAAAATTAATTTTCAATCGTTTTCTACTTTCTTCACAAAAATCATTATCATTATTTTTTATTTTCGTTTCTGATTTCAAAACTTTTATTAAACAAATGTGATTTATAAATTATTTTCATTTTCGTGTCTCGAGTAAACGTTTTTAAAAACAACTAAAAAATAATTCCAAACATACTCATCATTTCTTTTCGGAGGGGTCGTGCTTTTAAGACGTCGTACTCCTAAGGCTGAGGCGTCGTTCGTTGATATTGCTGTAATCCAAGACATTCTCGTTTCTCAGAAGTTGTCGTTTTCATATCACCATTGTTTTCTCAAGCTGTGGTCGTTTATAGTTTTATTTTGTCGTTTTCACCACGACTTTGTTTTCATGATCTTCTCATTTCTCAGACATTGTCCCTTTAACGCTATTATATCGTTTCCTACGACGTCGTTCATGAATTATAGTTTTCATATCATTACCGTTGTGACGTTGTCTAAAGTTATTCTCGTTTATATTATAACATAAACTTTATTTCGTCGTTAGCTCTTTTTGTTATGTTGTCTTTGGGACGTTATTACTGATTTTTTTTCCTTATTCCGAACAGCTCTTCAGGAGCTTTGTTCTTCTAATGTTGCTGTGATTTCAAAGGCCGTGTTAAGTTTGCTGTTTGAATTGTAATGATTTAATTTGAATTATAAATGCCTCATTTATTTCACTAATTCGAGTTTTGTTATAGTAAAAAACTCTCAAAAATAGTTACATCTAATTTTTTTACTACAGTAAAAAACTCTCACATAAAGTCATATCTCAACTCAAATTAAAAATTCGAATCAATAAATTAAACGGGCATAAAATTTAAATTGCAGTGATTTGAACTGCAATTCAAAACAATTAGATATATAAATAAATTATAATTTTAATAGAGTATTGAAAACTATTATTAGAATTTTACAATAAATCTTGTAAAACTTCATATAAATAACATTCTCTCTCTCTTTATTATGAACATATAAGAAAGAGAGAAAAACCACCTCAATCGCAATTGAAATAAAGAAAAACATTTTGAAGTAAGAGAGAAAAAAAGCAAGAAGCAAATAGTTTTTACTAGACAACAATTGGAATTGTCGAATTTAAAAAAAGGATTTTAATTTTAGTTAATGATTTGAATGACCTCTCTTTATTTCTAAACCAAATATTGATTTAAATCTTTAGACACAATTTAAATTGAATTATTTGGTTCTATTTGCAACCGGAAAGAATCTCGCTTTCCAGAAATTCTTGTTTCAAATTAGAACGTTTTCTAAAGAAGACCAACATTTTTTTTTCGCTTTTATTATACTTTTTCATTTTCTTGTTTCTTTAAAGATGCTGCCGTTCCATAAAAAAAAAAAAAAAAATGTTGCCGTTTCCTACACGTTGTCGTTTCTAATACGTTTGTCGTTTTTGATTCATTTTTAATGGTACTAGTTTTGTAAGGTGCTCTACACCTATTAGTGTGTTGGAGACACTTAAAGAATTTATTATCTATCGAATAATGAAAATTTATTTATACAACATTTAAAATTTTCTACATTTATTTAAAAAAATATATATATGTAAAGATAACAATTGGCAAAAAAAATTAAGTAGGAACACATTTAAAGTAAATTATATTAACGAACTAAAAATAAATAAGAACACATGCAAAAAAAATTACTCTCATAAAAGTAAAATGAGGAATAATATATTTTTAAAAAATACAAAAAAATTAAAATGTAAAAAGAATTTACATAATAAAAACACAAAGAAAAAAATATATGGAGATGGCAGCCCCATAAAAAAAATAAAAAAAATAAAAATAAAAAACTTAACTTTAACTCTTTTATGTGTCGATAGATATTATTGGTTTTAAAGCTATCGACCGCTACACTATCATTCGTCATTTTTCTATTCTCCCCGTGCTCCAGACATTGTCGTGTTTCTACCATTATTTATTTATCTGTTTTCTTTTTTTGCTAAAGCTATTGTCGTTTGTGCTTGTTATTTTGTCGTTTATTAGGGAAAAAAACTTTTAAAATAAACGAGCTCGTTATTAAAAAAACATAATATAATATAATATAAAAATTCATAGAAGCTCCTAACCTTAGGAAAGACCGACCCTTTCCCTGCCGAAGTTTTTTTTTTTTTTTTTTTTTTTATTATCAAATTTGGGACATCCCATCCAATTTTATCCTCTAAAGCCTTGAACCAGACAGATAATGCATCTCAAATAGTTCCAATAGTACTTATCCCAACACCAAAAAAAAAAAAAGTGGGATCCATTTAAAGATAATGATTAACTATTTATCCAATAAAAAAAAAAGTGAGTTCCATTTGAAGTAATCATATTGCTTATCAAGCCTTGCATCATCTCTATTAAGCTTTTCATGCACGACACTTTAACCATCGTTTCAATATTGAAATCGCTTGGTCATTAAAATCCTGTCTAACTTGAGAAACAAATATAGAGAAAAAGGAAACAAAATTTGACACCTTCAATTCATATCACACATGGTTGAACAGCCAATCGAGAAAGAGCAGTGAAACAAATGGATCTTCATTAAAATAGATCGGACTTCCAGAAACCAGAGAAACATTCCATTACCTAAAGCAAGTTACAATACAACTTGTCGAATTCAAAGACAAGCAAACATTTCTTCTAGGCAAGATAACGATACAATTTTCTGTCTGTGGTGTCCCTTTCCAAAAAATCACGCTCAATGAGGGACTCGATGCGTTTCTTAATCTCGGTTGGGTTCGCCAGGAATCGTGATTGCAACTGTTTTGTGACCTCAGCTATTATATTGTTGTGGTCCAGAGTCTTCCTTGATTTCATGATCCTCACTATAGCAGCTTCAATCTGAGGCTTCCTGTCCTCCTCCACTCTCTGTCGGGTCTCCTGTTTTTCGGGCTCTGATTCCTTTTGTGCGACTACGGTTCCTATCTTCACCTTATAAAACTTGCTTGCGAACTTGTCGTTAACGAAGAAAGCATCATCCTCAGCTATGTCTTTGCTCATAGGCTCCTTCCTAAGAACATTCTTTCCCTTCACGCAAGCCAATGATTGCAGGCACCTCTTTAGATCTGGAGCAGGAATTTCTGTTGCCTGCTCAATCTCCTTATAACAAAGCCGATCAGCGTTATTAAACAGCATTAAGACACACATTTGATAAGTGGACACATTTAGCTCATGCTTCTGGCCCTTCCCAAAGGAGGCCCTGATATCTGCTGTACCCATGTTAGTTTGCCAGGATAGTCTCCGCCCAGTATGGGTCCCAAGGTAGTATGATCGGAACTTTTCACAAAGTGCTGACATTTCCGCAGGAAGATTACAAGGGACGCTAGGTTGAGTTGGCCAAGATCCTGTTGTCAAAACCTGAACAGTTAATGTGGGTCCACTCCCTAGTTCAGGATGGCTTGCATAGAACCCTTGCATTGTATCCTGAGAAGTTTTCATGTCTGTAAACATGCCCTCTAATTTGGAAGTAAATTGGTATCCACACTCTGTCTTGAGCTTAACTATCAAACTTCTCTCTGCATCGTCAGAGACTGTTTTTCCAGACAAAAGCCTCTTCGCCAAATGCTGTTTATAGTATTTTTCAAATACATCTTTTTCCTGCAAGTACCGGAACAGCATCATCACCTTGTCAAGAATAATTTCTACATCCTCCTCACTAACCCCCTTCAAACCTTTGCGGAGCTTCTCATCAACAAACAAAGAAATGAATTCAGGTGAACGTTGATTCAAGTTAATAAAGTACTCAAACGAGGAATTCAAAGCATTCTGAAATGTCTTGTCATTGATGAACGATGAGCTAATAATTCCATCATACTTATCTTTCTCATCCAAGAGGCGTTGAACAAATTCCACGGGATCCTTCAACTTTTCTGGATCAGTAACTAGCTGTTTACCAGTTTCCCTGAGGTGAGAAGTCATCACCTCACGGATCGTCGAAAGACCGTTTGGAACTCGTCGGAACAAGTTATACATTCTTTTAAGGTCCTCATATTTATCATCAAGAAACATGTTAACCAGACCTGAATTATCCATATGCACTAACCTCAGCATGTGGTTTGCTATCATCTCTTTCTCCACCACACTAGTTATCTTGACTTCGCTCTTTGTATCCAAGTAATGTGTAACCCTTTCAACTTCCTCATTCAAACGCCTCTCTGCCTTCTTCAAGTAATCACCACAGTCACAGCACTCAATAAACTTCTGTGACTCACCCCTGTAGAACTCTGCTGAAACCTCAAGAAAATGCTTCTCAAAGTCTTCTTGGTAAACAGAAGGACCCAAATCCATCAGCATCTTAATTATATTCCTCATCAACCCCCTGTTAATAACTTCACCACTTCGTTCTCTCTGCATTAGATCAAGAAGTGTAGTAAGAAGTCTAGTCTGAATCTTAGGGGAGTGCACAATATTATCCCTCCATAGGTTGAGCCCCAGTTCGTGAACAGGAGTTTTCTGGGTACTTGGAATGTAAGTCCTGTCCATGTACATCAGTATGTCTCGGATCATTTGCAAAGCCTTATTGTGGTCGTTCCATTTCTTGTTCAGTTCTTCGAGAAACAAACCTCCCTGAGCAGCTTCAATTAATTTTGATATATCTCTGAGATGAGAAGTCATGGTGGTAACCAGACCCGAGTACAGCTTCTCACCAAATTTGTGAAGCACCATATTGTAGGCATTTCTAAATCCATGAAGAGACTACAGTGTTACAAAGTCATAACGGAACCATAAATCCCACAACAATACAGCATAGGCTTGTGCTTGTAATTCCAGGGATTCATTAGAGCATGTGAGTTGTGACAAACAACAATATAAATGACTCAAATTAGATTGCATTATGATTTATGATTGATATGTAAAAGCGGTTTTTTCTAAACATATTTATTCAAATGTTAACATGATTAGTGTCACAACAGTGAAGGGCCTCATAAGACTAGTTCTTTTTCTTTTTAAACCAATTTTATGCGACCACACTGTCACCGAAACACGTACCCTTAAAAATTTAATCACAACTTACATCCTCATCCTGTCTTTATACTACAGGCAACATCTTCCTCAATCTCCTCAACTAAAATGGCTTTTGTTTCTCCATGTTCCACTATTTCTCATTCAAAACTTAATACAAACACTTCAAAAAAAAAAAAAAGGTATGTGACATATCAAGTGGCAAGCCATAGCAATGAGAAATACACAAGCAGTACAACCAAAGGCAACAAACCTTGTGAAACACAACTAAATTGTTTTGAAGAAACAAAAGCAGAAGCATGTTCAATTCCAAGCAAAGTACTCACGTATATGTATATAAGTTTTATACACACATATACATATATATTGCGTATGTATGTGTAACTTAGCTGAATAACTAGGAATTCCTGTAAGGGCAGAAATTGGGACAAACATTTCCACCAATCTCCGAACAAAACTATATAAGCTCAAACCAGAAAGCCAAAGCAAAATAATCCAAAAACTAGCGTAGAGATCAAAAACACCAAATCAAACAACTTTGCCCGAATTTCAGAAGCGCAAGGAATTCGAAAAGGAATATCCGAAGGAAAGAGAGACGAACCTGTAAAGCTCTTCAAAGCTGAGGCCACTAGCATTATGATTGTAAATCTCGTGGATTGCGTGTTCCAGAATCTTCCACGTCTTCTCAGCGTACTTCGGATCCACCACAACCCTGTGCTTAAAAGCTTCAATCTGGAAATTCCTCTTCTTCTGGTTACTCATCGCTTCTTCACGGTTTCCCAAAAATTTCCCAGAATCCAAACACCCAGCTCCGATCCAAAAAACAAAAACAAAAAAACAAAAAACAGAATCCGAATCTGAGCCTATAAATTCGACATCATCGGAAAGATCGACGAGTTTCGGTTTCGAAGTGAAATTTAATCGGAAACGAAAAGCCTTTTCTTCGGAGAGATTGAAATGATGAAATTAACGAGAAATTAATTTATGGATTATACAAAAGATTGGATTTAATTAGTTAGCAAAAAAGAAAAAAGTAAAGAGAAAGGTTTAGGTTTTGGTTTTGTTTGGTTGGTTTGTGATACCATTCGTGAGGAGATGGAGAAGGTAGGGCTTCACCTGATTTATGAGTTTTTTCCTTCTTTTTTTTTTTTTGTTGTCACGTAGAAACGTTTCTGTGACGGTTTGTTTGTTAATGCGTTTCTACGTTAAACATTTTCGGCGCGTCTGTGAATGAACATTAAAAATAAGGACATTTTACACATTTATCCTTTAAAACTTATATAATTTTAACAACTTCTTGTCTAAATTTTTAATTTGATAAGTTGTCTCTCAATTTATAAAATTTTTATAATATGTCTCATTTTAACTATAATTTTATTAAATAAATAAAAAAAAACACGTTTGATGAAAAATTTTAACATTACAATTTAAAAGTAATTTTAATTTCTCAATTTTTAATCTCTTAAATCTAATAAAAAATTTAAATAAATTTAATAAAATAGGACAAGTTACGATAATTTTACAAGTTTGGAGAGATGATTGTCAAAATAAAAAAAAATATTACAAGGTAATTTACTAAATTACTAATAAATTTGAAAAATAATTGTCTTAAAAATCCTAAAAATAATAAGAGAGGTCCCTTTAAATTACATCAAAATAATTAAAAATAAATAAATTTGAGAGTTACCACCCAAAAAGAGAAAAAGGAAAACAAACGAGTGAAAGAGAAATTTGAGAAGACTTTGGTAAGGGGAAAAAAAAAAAACAAAGGAAGATGTTGATTGCTTGTTACTTTATACATTTCACTGTGCTAACAATGCTTCAAAATTTTCATTTGCTCGTTACTGAAAAATAATCATCCATCCGTGATTTGAATTTCTATTAAATTTAAACTTTACTTCTTTATTTCTCAATTTTTCTTCTTTTATCATCATTTCATCTCGAATTTCAGCGATCTCTCCCTTAACATTTCTTCTCGTATTATTACTTATTTTATTTCCATATTAAATAAACAAAAATAATAGAAAATATGTCAATATGAAAAGCTTAAAAAAGTATATAGGCTAACTTTTAGGTATAGAAATTAATATGCCATAACTTGTCAGGTTATGGTTCATAACCAGAGAAGTTATGGACAAACTTGTCAAGTTATAGTTCATAGCCATGCAAGTCATGAAAAAAAATCATGAATAACTTGTCAAGTTATGGTTCATAACCAGACAAGTTATGGACAAAAACAGTAATTTGGCCTATTTATTAACTTATGTAAACTATTGGCCTATTAATTTTAATTCATCTCAAGTCTTGATCTATTTCCCTCTTTCTCCCTATTAAATAATAATATATTTTTAGTTGGGCCTTAACCTATAGTAGTAATTAGTTCGATCCATATGGATCTCTATTTAGTTAATATTTTATACTTTGAGGCCACGATGGATTAAGGTCCATGGCTAGCTAGGAGACTACGGGTTTGTTTGGTTCAACAACTCAAACTGTAAAGATTTGAGTTTTTTTTTGTTAAAATTATAAAATTTAAATTGTGGTGATTTTAATTATGATTCGAACCAGTGTTTGGATATACAAATAAATTGTAATTTGAATTGAGAATAAAATTCAAATTGTGTTTGGATAAAGTGTTGAAAGCTGTCATTAGAGTTTTATAACAAATCTTATAAAACCTCATTGTAAATGACATTAAAAATATGCAATATGGGTGGGGATTTATTCCTCTCTTCATTATGAACACATTAAAAAAACCGTCTCAATCGGAATTAAAACGAAAAAATTATGACACTTTTAAGATTAAAATTGAAGAGAGAAAAAAAAGAATATGAAATTATTGAACTGTTGACAAAAATTCAGATTGTTACAATTTAAGGGGGTGATGAATTCTAAAAATCAAGGGTTTGAATCATTGTTAATGGTTTGAATTGTCCATCAATTTTTCTCTCCTAAACACCAATTTGAATCTTGAACTAAGATTTGAATCTTAATCAACATTTTGAGTTGTTGAAAAAAAAAAAGATATGAGTGAAGAGATTCAGGGCAGCAGGTGGTGCTCAACAAGATTTGAATGACGTCGGATCTTTAAGGTCTTGTGTTTGTGTGTGTATAGGTGGTCTCTTGGTGGCTGCTCATGATCTCCTCCGCATGAGACTCACGTTCGCAGGCGTGAAAAGGGAGAGAAGGCGAGCAAGATCTAAGAAAGTACAAGGAGGAAGGCAAGAGAGAGAGCGCGAGTTGTTTATGGAAATCACGGATAGAGAGAGAGTTATTTTTTCATTTATTTTTTTTAGAATTTCAAAATTGAGAGAAAAATAAGGGAAAAATTAAATTCATATTTTCAAGAATCTGCTATTTATTAATTAGCTAAAATAATTATACTATTTCCTACATTAGTTTTAAGAAATATGCTAAATGCTACCATTTCACTCTTCTTCTTTTTTTTTTTTATTACAAAGAAAAACCTCTCAAATATGCATCCAATTGGAGAAAGCCCAATGTAAAGCCTAATGAAAGTCAAAGGGAAATTGATTGTACAGGACCAATATTTGGATCCATTCCCATGAGATTAAGTTCGGGCCTTGTTTCTACCGAAACAAAAAGTTCGGCCCTTCTTATTTTCTGAACCAGCTTGGAACATCAATGTTCGGCCTTGTTAGTTTTTCCCCCTCCTAGTCTCATTTCACTGTCTAGAGACTAGAGAACGTGTCACTTTAGCCGTAACAATACATGGTCCGTCATTGTTTAGGTTATTGACACAAATGGTCCTCAACTTATTTAGTAAGTAATAGTTTAGTCTCTAACTTTTTTTTGGTAAATCGACCCCCAACCTTTTAAAACAGGTGCAATCTGATCATTTCCATCAAGATCCGTCCAAAAGCTAACGGCCTAATACACGTGACCACCCACGTGACCCAGGCTTCCTCGGTCTTTCTCTGGCGGAGGAGAGAGAGGAGGGCTTTGTCCTGGGAAATCGGTTGTTTGGTGGAGGAGAGAGAGAGATTGGTGTTTGTGTTGCGGTTTGTGTGGACTTGAATACGAGATTGGAACATGACACAAGCTTCCTCAGTCTTTCTCTGGCGGAGGAGAGAGAGGAGGGCTTGGTCTTGGGAAATCGGTTGTTTGGTGGAGGAGAGAGAGAGAGAGATTGGTGTTGGTGTTGCGGTTTGTGTGGACTTGAATATGAGATTGGCGAGTTTTTTTAGTTTTGGAAAAGGTTGGGAGAGAGAGAAGGTTGGATAATGGAAATGGGTTAGAGAGAGAGAGAGAGAGAGAGAGAGAGAGAGAGAGAGAGGATGAATTAGGCCACGTGGGTGGTCACGTGCATTGGGCCGTTAGCTTTTGGACGGATCTTGACGGAAATGATTAGATTGCACGTGTTCTAAAAGATTGGGGGTCGATTTTTTTATAAAAAAAAAAAAGATTAGGGACCAAACTGTCACTTACTCAATAGGTTGGGGACCATTTGTGCCAAGAACTCTCATTATTTTGTGCGAGTTTATATTTATGTCATTCTAAATAATTGAATATCATTGAGATCTTTTATTATTATTATTAATTGAACGACAATCGTTTATTTTTAATTGGGGTGATATAAATAATATTTTTTTATCATCTTGAGTGATTTTTGTGGTTGGGTGATTGAACAGTATTTTTGTAATCATATCGAGTAATATTTAATGAACGGAGTAATTAACCTCGATTTATTGTTCATCTTGATTAACTATCTAATTATTTAGGAACACCATATGTCATTTTAGTTGTATGCAGTATTACTTCATACTAGGTAGCTTCGCCGGTTAGTTATCCATGCTAAGTATCTATGTATATTCTTGCTTCAAATAATAGCCATTTTCACGCCAGGTCTGGTATTCACAGCTTGATAAACTGCTCTTTAGCGGGGCTTTTTTTTTTTTTTTTTTTTTTTTTTGAGCTCCAAAAGTTAAATCAGTACTGATGTACGTAAAGCTTCATAAAATATATATGGTTGAAAGTTTTGGCATATCAGATATGAATTGATAGTGGAATCAAGAAGTGATAAATAACAAGTTGTCCACAATAATAATAATAATATAATCTGTTAAAGGATATGGGTGCTACTTGATTATTCGACCTTTTTTCTTTGTAAGGTAAGAATAACGCTGTTGCTTACTCCCAAGTCACAAGCAAATTGGATTAAATCCAACGATCCATGATAAAAGAAAAGTATTACTAAATCCAATACCATTAGTATGTCCAGTTGATCCATTAGTATATTACTAAATCCATTGGTAATATGAATTCCAAAACCTAAAATTTTTGTTGATTTATGTAGTGTTGGACAGATTTAAGAAGTTCTAGGGGCCTTGCTCCAGACCCCTTGGAATCATTAAGCTCAATTTTGATATTGTGGTCTTTGAGGAACGTTTGTTTGCGCTCATTGCGTTCGCTTGGGTTGTTTTTTTGCGAAGAGGTCTCGATTAGAGAAAGAGAAGCCACGACGGGAACTTTGGGCTACCCGGCTTGCAAGGGCTTGGGGTCTGTGCTTAGGGTTTGTTTAGTTCGCTGATTTGAGTTTTTAATTTGAATTGAGATATAACTTTATGTTGAGAGCTTTTTACTGTAGTAAAAAAGTTAGATGTGACTGTTTCAGAGAGCTTTTTACTGTAACAAAACTCAAATTCTAAACTCGAATTGGTGAAATGAACGAGGCCTTAAGTTTTTAATTTGAGCTGAGATATGATTTTATGTGAGAGTTTTTAACTGTAGTAAAAAAAAAATAGATGTGACTTAAGTTGGATGTGACTTTTTATGGGAGCTTTTATTATAGCAAAACTGAAATTGAAAACTCAAATCGGTGAAATAAACGATGTCTAAAACTTTTAGCTCACAAGGCAAATATTTCTGATCTTGAGTGTTTCTTTGAACGTGGAGGACACAAAATGTTGCGCTTATAGCTTATATAATTAATTGGGGACTATCCCAATTACTTTTTTTTTTTTCTGTGACATTCTCTTCCATGTTTTCGAATACTTTGTGAAATTCTTCTAAAGCTGTAATCACAACTCACAAGTAAATTCCATTTTTTTTTATTGTTATCTTTCTCTCATTTTTATAAGTCTT